GGTTTTTTATATGCTCCTCCCTACATCTTTATATGTAAAGTGGTTTGAGACTGTGGATGAAGGCTTCTGTGTAATTTAATAAGTACACTTATCCTGAACATAGAGACACACTGACTCAGACAAATACAATTCTTTTTTAAAATTCTTTTTTCCTGTGGGCATTGCTTTTTCCTTTTAGTAAGGGTGGCATGAGCACTAAGGTACATGGTTGACAGCCTAGAGGTCACATGTTTCAGGCCATAGCAGAAGTGTTCATGGTGTAGCCTCTGAGATTACAATGAATCTGTGAATTTTGCTGTATACCTTGTCACAAGGAAACAAAAACAATGAAGGGATGAATATGATTGTTATTTCTTTAGAAAATAAATGTATTTTGTGAAAACACTGAGGGTGTGTCTACATGTTCATTAATGCGCTTTTGCTATTGCACATTAAATTTAGTACCTCTAATGTGAAGTACTAACTAACTGTGCAGTAGGCTGCCCTAATGCGCAGTAGCTAAAGCGCATATTTTTTTAATGATGCTTAATGTACAGTAGCTTAATTTTACTGTGCATTAGTGTATTAGTACAGTTTTTATTGTGACACTCTATTGCATGGTAAAATAGGCTACTGTGCATTAAATTGCATTGTGTAGCTGCACCCTGAGTGTTGCGGCGGCCTGGTAAAATGAGTGCATGGAGTTTAGACTCAGGGACAAATATTGCTTTATAATAGAATGTGTGCTTCTTTATGGCAAGGCTGTATATTTGTGTCGAAACAAAGCTAGCCACTGATGTATGAATCTTCCAAAATTCCCCCAAAAATCTCTATTCAGGAGACCTGCAGGGATGCATAGGGATGTCACTCCTTTATGCAAAGTCTGAACATTTCCTACTGTTTTCTGATTTTCTTGACAAGCCATCTTTTAAAAATTGTCTTTGAATGCATGAACTTTTGGAAGTTCATATATCAGTTGGTTAGCTCTGTTTGGACACACTGATCACCTTGGCCCTTTAATCTATAAGTAGTTCTATCAGTTTCAGTGAGTAATGGAGTAAGTGCAGGTACATTTATGAAATAAGTAAATATTCAATATGATTATGGGTAGCAGAAGGAAGTGTAATATATTTTTGTAATCCATCAACTGAATGAGAGCATATCTTAAGCTTGTAGAGCAAAATTTCTTAATTGAAAATTTGTTCTCTATGAGTTGTCTCCAATAATGACTTAAAACTGATTGTTTCCATGAAAATTCCTGTCAGGAAACTGAATTGCAAAAATGTAATCAAAGAAGCTGCAAACGTGGTGGAAGCAAATCATTTAAATATTTGAATGATATTTTAGGGAACATTTTTGCAGTATTCACGCAGTGGAAGTCAAAATGAACACATTGCAAAGCCCGCTATTTAGACCAACAAGATAAAAATTGAATTCCAAACAACTCAGTAGAAAATAAACTCTTATTCTTTGTTTACAATAAACACAAACTCAAATCTGGACATGAGTTTCGACTTCCCTCCAACTCTCAGTATGTTAGCTGAAGCAAACATTCATTTTCAGCTCCATAAGGATGGCACCATCAGGCAGTCAGTTAACAAAAAGCTAGATTCTACAACATGTTGAGTGTCCTCCATTTCCCCTGAAATCAGGGTTTCAGGCTCAGATCCCTGCAACTCCTAACCTGAGACTTTCTTCAATATTTTGTTTCCTGAGAGATAGCTCTGAGCCCTATTAAATACAATTTCTAAATGGTCTGTAAGCATGGATTTACATGTTATACTTAGACCATAATAAATCTGTAGAATGATAAGGGGTGTTAAATAGAAATGGAACACTAGGAATTTAAGGAAAGAATCTTGGCTATAGGACTGCAAAAAAATGTCTACAATTTCTCTCAGTCAGACTTTCCATCTTCCCATGGAATATATTTGGTGATGCATAAAGGCTCTAAGTTCAGGGTCTGATTGTGCTACATGCTATCCAAACACATGGCAGGAGGTATCACAGTATTTGGAATCTAACTAAACAAGACAAGATGTGTGCTTCACTCTAGGTCCCCTAAGAAGTACAGACTTCTCAAGGTGGACATCCCTTCAGAAGAGAAATCTGCTGGTTGGGCATTCTGTGAGCAGAGCTCATTCCTTTGACAGTCTGCCAAAGCCACTTTAAATTTCTTAGCATCTGCTCTGTTCCCTAAGCTGTTAGGGAAGAGGTGGGTGGAGGTGGACATACTTATGGGAATCCTGTATGAGTTTTAAGTGAGGGGATGGGTATCCAGAGCACTGGATAAACACCTATGATTATAATAATTCAGTAATTTAGAAGTGTGAATGAAAATATATTCTACACACACAACAACAATGAAAAAGCCTGTGGTAACACAATATGATTAGTGTTGTACAGTCAAGCATTTAAAAGTTAACCAATGCCAGAACTAAAGTTGCATGTGCACCATTCATTTGTTGCCTTTTGCATATGCATCATAATACAGTCTAACTACATGACCATCTACTGTCTTTCTACAGGAACACTGCCTCATTCAGTTTTCAGGATGAATGGTGCTCACTTAACAAGTGCTATTCAATATTTTGTTTTTCCTTTGTTCAGCACATAGCCTCAGGCCTTGTATACTGAATATTATTTAAACTCATGATTAATTTCCTCATGGGATTGTCTGTGGCACTTCACTATAGCATATAAGTGCTTCACAAACATTAATGAATGTATTTGCACAACAGCCCCGCTGAATAAAAGGGTATTCTTATGTCCATTTTACCGATGGGGAACTGAGACAGAGATATGAATATACCAAATATCCCTTCATTTTGAATTTCTCAAACTGTGACAGAAATATAGGATCTTATTTTTACAAGATTTTTTCAGCACACAGTGTGATATAGCATCTTATAAGATGAAAGCACAGCTACTATTAACTTTGCTTGCAAATGTGAATGCTTAGGACTTCTGCAAATCAGAACTCACCTACTGAGGTCAGGTACCACAGTTAGAGACCACTGTGAAAAATATGATTTAAACAACAGGAATAGAATTACATTGGACTTCTGTAGCAGAAGCAGGGGTAGACTCCAGTTCTCCAGGCATTGTTCAACTGTCTTGAACCGTAAGTCCATTTCTTCTCTTCATGTAACATGGACATACTTTCCAATTTTTGTTACATCTGAAGCAGGGAAAAGCCTCCTTCCTACACAACCCTGATTTGTCCTATACACTGAATGAAGTAGGGATCCTGTAGTAAAAGAATATATGATCATATAATTAAAGACCAATTTACAATGCATGAATATGCACAAGGGGGTCCTGCATTGTCCACTACTAATGGGACAATGATTCAGTAGACATTCAGCGGGGATAATAGTGCCACTTAATCACTAGCATTGCAAACTGTGTCAGCATGGTTTTCTTCTGAGGGCTCTGGTTCAAGTACTACCCAAGATTGCTCCTATTTAGCAAACGATATTTGATGAGATCACAGCCTGACCTAATACATCTGTAAGCACTGAAGAAAGCTCTGACCTCAGCAGATTTGTAACTTCAGTTGGCATGAAATATAACAGACAAAGGATCTGGGTTTCCATGAGTGAATATCTGAACTGTCCTAAAATAATGTACCCCTGCTGAAGTTGTTAGGGCTGCATACAGGTACTTCAAACCTGACATCTAATGCGGTTGACACAGTAAAAACAACAAATCAGAAAAACTGAACAATTTGTTGCCTGTAAGTGGATCAACAAATAATCTGAAAAGAGGAATGCAATCAGTTGAACTTATACAATAACTGGTATGCATTTTATAATAATAGTGTGCATACTTTCTTTAACTCTGTGGCATCCTCTTAACTTTATAATAATCACGTGTATACCTTCTTTAACTCTGTGGCATCCCCTTAAGTTTTGTGTCTCTCACTGTCTCTTCCAAGAATTATGCTAGAACATAATTTATACTATGTGAAATCAGGGTTTAGCATTGCTTGCATTACACCAACAGAGATCCCATCCTACCTGAGGTTGGAGACTCAATATGTGCTGGGCAGTGAACACTAGGCAAGAGCCAAGCAGTGCCATGAGGAGTTTACTATTTCAGTAGTCAAGCCGAAGGGGAGACGGGTAGAGGCATTATCCTCTTTTCACGCCTTAAGAATTGAATCACAGATCTCGATCTAAGATCACCCTGGGAGGTCTACAGTAAAGGTGGCAATGACACCCACGTGTCCTTGTCCTCAATTGGTGGTGTAACCGCCAGTCCCTTTTTCTTCTTTAAAATACACTTAGGGGCATTTGCTTTTAATAGATACAGGCCAACAATGTTGAGGACCGGACTTGGGCACCTCAGTCCGAGGCCTAACTTGCCTAAGGCAGCCCAGCCCCCTAAGTCACTCTGGCGCCCTTGGCACAGCCGGGCCGGGGCTCGTTCTGCTCGACGGTGCCCCCGGCGGGGCTGAGGCAGCCCTGTCTTGGTGCAGAGACCTTTCCCCAGCAGCCTGGAGGCCGGTGCGGGCTCGAGGTGCCCGCAGGTGCGAGCGGGGCAGCCGGCCGCGGGGGCCGTTGGGCTTCCCGCCCCGGGCGCGGGGGTGCGGGGCCGGCGCCAGG